AAAAACAACAAAACAAAACAATACTCCAGAACACTGGTTCTCATGCCTGGCTACATATTAGAATCACATAGGACATTTTCATAAATACCAACACCCAGCTTTCCTCACCCCACTTCAATGATTTTGATCTAACTAATGTGGAGTCAGACTTAGGCATCAGTATTTTCTTAAAGGTACTTCAGCTGTACTTACTGAAACATCATTGTTAACTATTTAACAATAAACTATAAAATAGCATTGTGGTTGGGTATAGCAGAAAAACTGGTGAAATTTCATGACATCTTGTTTATAGTGCCAATGTTAATTTCTTGATTTTGATCATTATAGTAAGGCTATATAAAATGCTACATACATAACTTTACGTCCATACAGATTACAGCCAAGAAAACTATCGAGCAATTCTATTCTCTTACAACAGATTGTTAGGAGTCAGAATGGACTCAAGGGCACCTAATAACAACAATAATTTTGTAGAATTTATTTTGGAAAACAGTACTTTAAATTATTCGTTTCCCAAACTTAGTTGATGGAAGATGGCAACAGTATCAGTTGGTGAGCTTATTAAAATACTGACTCACAGACCATATCCTGGACATACAGGATGAGGGGAATGCTGTATTTAACAACATTTCAAATGCTTTTGATGCACATTCATGTTTGGAAATTAAAGCTCTTTCCTGGTATGGCACTGTAGGATAAGCACTGGGTCACAAGGTCAGTTTGAACCGCAGAGTCAGTGGTCAAAAACCCTATCCAAGGGTCGCTATGTGTTGGGACTGACTTGACTGCATTTACCACCACCAACAAAGCACTTTAAATAATATATAAAATTAACATGTAACATCTCTGTATAATTAATATAAGAATAAGTTTATAATATAGTTGAAAGGCCACATCATTGTCAAATATGAAATATCATACTTAATAGTTCTCCAAATAATAGTATTTAATCCACGAGAGAAGAGTATATGCATACAATTATTTTGTGAAAGATAAATTCTAAAATGTTGGAAGTGTCATCAGATTTAAATGTCAATATAACTAATAAGTACACTGCAATCGCTACTACTAATTGATCATTAATTCACAAAGATTCTCATTCCTTGTGTGGTTCCCCATCTCCATTTTCTCCTCTCACCAGAGTCAAGAACCAGGGCAGGGTCATTTCATTAAACTCCAGGGATGACATTCACATGTAAGTCGAGTACAATGTGGATGGTCCCTCTGGAGCTGTGCTTAGTGGCTAGCCCAGTCAATGACACATTCAAGTGCTTATTCTTTTGTTAAGTGCTGTAGATTGGTTCTGACTCACAGGCACCCTGTATAGGATTTCCAAGGAGAGACTAGACAGTTTGAACCACTGACCTTGCAGTTCAAACAACTTCACAGTCTGACGCATTAGCCCACAGCAAGAATTCTCTTGCTCTTTCCTCACAAAAATCTTGTGTGGTAAATACATATATCAATTCCATCTAAGCAATTCCTTGTATATAATCAAAGGATAAATCAAGGATCTTGCTCTCAAAGAACTGATGGCCTAACTGGAGAACAAAATATACATTCTATACAGAAACAGCTCAAGTCAATTCTAAGACGTAAGACTGCCATCGCATTGATTCTGATTCATAGTGACCCTGTGTAGAGTTCCGAGGCTGGAGATCTTTACAGTAGCAGGAAGGTTCACCTTTCTACCTCAGAGCAGCTGGTGGGTTTGAATTTCTGATTTATCAATTAGCAGTCCAGTGCTTATCCTATACCACCACCAAGGCTCCTTAAGACATAATGTTAGATACAGCAAATTAGTATGGCAGGATTTTACACATACTAAGCATAGGAATCATTGTAAGGATGGTGCAGGACCAGGTAGTGTTTCATTCTCTTGTTCACATAGGGTGGCTGTGAGTTAGAACTGACAGTACTTAACAACAAGAATATTCCAACTCACAGCAACTCTATACAGGGTTTCCAAGCAGCAGCAGGTAGGTTAGAACTGCCAACCTTGTGGTTTGCAGTGCAGTGCTGATCCTACGGCACCACACCAGGAGTCCAACAATAACAATAGCTAATATTTAGTGATTTAGTTTTCACTCAACCTTTAGATGTTGTTAAGTACCGTAGAGTCGGTTCTGACCCAATATAAGATTTCCAAAGAGCAGCTGGTAGGTTTGAACTGCCAAGCACACAGTTAGCAGTTCAGTGCTTATCTTAAATCTCCACACCAGGACTCCCAACCCTAGGATAAATCACTACTGTTAGCCCCATTTTTCAGGAGAGGAAACAGAGACAAAGAGAAATGAAATAACTTGCCCAAGCAAATAAGTGGTTAACCAGGATTTTAACTCTGGAACTACTCTTTTCACCATTACATTTTACTGCTAGGGAAGACAGTATTCCCAAAACCATGGAGACAAATATCATGGTTGTCAGTTCTGCTCCTCGGAAACCCTATACATGGTTGCTATGAGTCGGAACTGACTCGACAGCACTTAACAACATATTAGAAATGACTATTTCCCAAATAGCTGGGGTCACTGGCTATTCTGCCCAGTAGAAACAGACTCAGTAAAACATCAGCAATGTCATTTCTGCCACAATACATTACCTCTTTTATTCGTTTAACCAAAGCATTCTGATCAAAAGCAACAGCTTCTGCACACTGATGCAGGTGATCCTGATAGCGGAGGCAGAGCTGCAACACCTGCTGAGAATCCAATTTCTCCAATTTGGTATTTGTTGGGGAGGTCTGGCCACTCAACAAACCTTCAAATCAGGAAAAAAAAGAAAAGAAATGCAAGTTTACTGTTAATAAACTTTGAATTACAAAGTAGCTTAATTCACTTTTGTTTTATTTTAATTGTAATAACAATAACAATTTGCGGCATTATCTATTATGTTCCAAGGTCCCTGTTGGTACAGGGAGTTAAGCATTAGTCTTCTGATAGGTTAGCAGTTTGGACCCAGCTGCCGTTCTGCAGGAGATAGATGACGCTGTCTGCTCCCATAAACATGACCAGTCTGGGAAACTCTATGGGACTATTCTACTCTGTCCTATATGATTGCTATGTGTAGGAATCAACAGGAGTGGGTTTATTATGTGCAAAGCACTTGGCATAGAACTTCCTATACATTACTTGTCATACTCATAACTGCACTAGAAAGTAAGATATTATTAGCCCCATGCAAAGGGGGATACCAAGACCGAGAGGTTAAGTACCTTTACCAAAGTTACATAGCTAGTATTTCACAAAAGTATCGTTCCTGACTTATCTTTTATGAGACACTAGTTCAAAGTATCAGGAATGTAAATGCCTTCTAAATTGAAAACTTTGTTAGATGTTTTTATCTGGAAAATCAAGAAAGAAATAAACTATACAAGGAAATCTTCTAGGAGGATACGCTGAAATGAAAGGATTTAAAAAGTAAATAGACCATCAGCTAACAAACCAGAAGCTCTCATTTATATTTGCTTTCAACATCAGTTTAGTTGTTGTTGTTAGTCCTTTCTGACTCATAGAGACCCCTATGGACAACAGAACAAAACATTGCCTAGTTCTGCACCATTCTCACAACTGTTGTAATGTTTGGATCTGTGTTTGCAGCCACTGTGTCGATCCATCTCACTGAGGGTCTTCCTCTTTATCTTTGACCCTATACTTACCAAGCATGCTTTTCTAGAGAATAATCCCTCCCGGTAACGCCCAAGGTATGACAGACAGTCTGCCCTTCCAAAGAGCATTTGGTTGCACTTCTTCCAAGACAAATCTATCTGCTCTTTTGGCAAACCATAGCACTTTTGATATTCTTCTCCAACACCACACCATAATTCAACTACATACTGTCTTCTACTGTCTTCCTTATCGACTGTCCAACCTTCACATGGCAATTAAAAATACCATGGCTTATGTCAAACAAGACATCGTTTGATTTCTTGACTGCTGCTTTCATGTAGATCCAAGTAAAATGAAGTATTTAACAACTTCAGTATTTTCTCCATTTATCATGATGTTATTTACTGATCCAGTTATGAAGCTTTTTATTTCTTTACATTAAGGTGCAATCCATACTGAATACTGTAGTCTTCGATCTTCATCAGTAAATACTTAAAAGTCCTCTTCGCTGCCAACAAGCAAGTTTTTGTCATCTGCATATAGCAGATTGCTAATGGGTCTTCCTCCAATCCTGATGACATGTTGTTCTTTATATAATCTAGTTTCTGGAAGTATTCGCCCACCATACAGATTGAATAAATATGGTGTAATGGATACAACCCTAGTATACTCCTTTTCTATTTTAAAACATTCACTATCCTCTTGTTTTAACAACGGCTTCTTGGTCTATACACAAGTCATAAGCAAGATTAAATTAAGTGTTCTAACACTCACCTTAATGTTATCCATAATTTGTTATGATCCACACAAATAACTTTGCAGTCAGTAAAACACAAGTAAACATCTTTCTCATTCTCTTCTTTCAGCTAAGATCCATCTGACATCAGAAATTCTGTCCCTCATTTCACGTCCTCTTCTGAATCCAGCTTGAATTTCTGGCAGTTCCCTGTCAATGTACTGCTGCAAGCATTTTTAAATTATCTTCAGGAATATTTTACTTGCATGTGATATTAATGATATTGTTTAATGATTTTCAAATTTCACTGGGTTAACCTTCTTTGTAATGGTAACAAATACGTATTTCTTTGTTGTCAATCAGTTGTCCAGGTAGCTGCCTTCCAAACTTACTGGCATCGATAGCGAGCACTTCCAGACCTGCTTAAGTTTGTTGAAACACTTCAATTTGTATGGCAAAATTTCTGGAGGCTTGTTTTTCACCAATGTCTTCAGTGCAGCTTGGACTTCTTCCTTATTATCATTGGTTCTTGATCATATACTACCCTCTTGAAATGTTGAACATCAACCAATTCTTATTGGCACAGTGACTGTGTATTCCATCCTTTTGGTGTTTCCCGTGTCATTCAAAGTTTTGCCCATAGAATTTTTCAATTTGCAACTCAAGGCTTGATTTTTTTCTTCATTTGTTTCAGCTGAAGTGTATTTTTTCCCTTTTGGTCTTCTAACTCCAGGTCTATACATATTTCATTATAATACTTGTCTTCTCAATTGAAAATTTCTGTTCTGCTCTTTTACTCCATCATTTCTAATTGATTTACCTTCTCTATGCTCAAGAGAAAGTTTCAGAGTCTCTTCTAACATTCACTGTGGTCTTTTCTTGCTTTCCTGTCTTTTTAAATGACCTTTTACTTTCTTCCTGAATGATGTTCTTGATGTCATCCCACAGCTCTTCTGGTCTTCAGTCATTAGTGTCTAATGCATCAAATCTGTTCTTGGTATGATCTCTAAATTAAGGCCGATATACTGAAAGTCATACTTAGTCTCTGGTGGACTTGTTTTAATTTCCTTCAGCTTCAACTTGAATTTGCATATTAGCAATTAATGATCCACAGTCAGCCCCTGGCCATGTTTTGGCTGATAAGCTTCTCCACAGTCTCTTCCCACAGATGTAGTTAATTTGATTGTTGCGTGTTCTATCTGGTGAGGTTCTCATGCCTAGATGCCTTTTATATTGTTAAAAAGTATAATTTTATATTATATTGCATTGGCCTTGTAAAATTGTGTCATGCTATCTCTAGCATCTTTTCTATCACCAAGCCATATTTTCCAACTTTGAATCCTTCCTCTTTGCTTTCAACTTTCACATTTTAATCACCAGTAATGATCAATGCACCTTGATTACAGTTTAGTTGTATTAACTACTAAGTTCCATTATATTTACATATATTTTTACATCCTTTCAAATAAAATGATCTTCTCATTAAAGAGTGTTATTTGTTTTTAAGTGCTGTCGAGTAGATTCTTACTCATTGTGACCCTGTATAGGGTTTCTGAGGAGTAGCTGGTGGGTATGACCTGATAACCTTGTGGTTCAAAGTCCAATGCTGATCCTACAGTGCCATACCAGGAGTTATTTAAGAAGCATAGAACAGAATAATTATTACCATTTACAGAAGAAGAAATCAAGTAAAGAGGCTAAATGACTTGCCTTAGGTCTCACAGAAAAAACCCCTGACTAAAAGGGTAAGCCTACTGACTGATCAAGTACATTCTACGAGACCACTGCAATGGTTCTTAAACTCTTGTCAGGGCTCCTTTTACATTTCATTGAGGCTTACACAGTAGTTTAAATTTCCGTTCAACAATATCTACTAAAGTTGCTCAGTGACACTGGTTACATTCTTTACAAAGCATGAACATGCTCATTATTTCTGTCCTGGTGTTCCATTTCTAGTAATCTAGTTACACTGTCCCCTTACCTTCTCATCTTTGTTTCAAAGTAAGTGTTGATCATTTGATCTCATATATATGATTTTTTTTTTTAAGGTACCCCAGTACTCAATCTGGTATTTAGTTAAAAGGTGACCTAGCTTGTTTTAATTCAAGATTGCTAAGACTATCTCAGGGCAATCGTCTTGGGGAATCTTCTAGTCTCAATCAATCCAGTGACTCTGAATTATTTTCAAAGAATTTGAGGCTCTGTTCCCCATTGCCCCTATATTATCAGGACCAATCTAGGCGGCACTGTAGTTATAACCTTCTTTAGAAATTCTCTGTGCCCTTCTTGTACCCATCACTATGCTGACCCCTGTTCAGAACTCCATCATACTGTACACATTGTCACACTGTATATCATACTGTATATTGTCTACCTGTCCTTGTAGATTGCCACCTAGTATGTACCTAGTGACTAGAAACTAAATATATCCAATTGTGCTTCTACTCCTATAAACCTGCTCTTGTCAAGGCTACTAGTGAAAATCATATTAGACTGAAAGGTTACATCTCTGTCTTCATTTTATTACACCTTCCAGCAGCATTTAATACAGTTAGACTGCTTCCTCTTTTCAGTAGCTTCTGTAAAACCCATTCCCTGTGTTTCCTCCCTCACTGCCCACTTCCCTGCCTCCCAATCTTCCACAAACATTCTCAATGTTGGAGAGTTTTAGTTTGGTTCTGGATTTCCCTCCAAATTTTTTAATATCCCCACCTCCAAAATTTCATCTGCCGATGATTTAAAATTCCATCCATATGCCAATGACTTTCAATTTTATATCTTTAAGCCCTGACATTGTGGTTTTTAAGTGCTGTCGAGTTGCTTCTGACTCATAACAACCCTGTACAGGATTTCTGAGGAGTGGCAGGTGAGCTTGAACCTCTGACCTTGTGGTCCACTGCTTATCCTACAGCACCACACCAGGACACCCTGACACCCACCTTTAGTTGTTGTTAAGTGCTGTAGAGTTGGTTCCAACTCATAGCAACCCTGTAACAAGGTTTCTGAGTAGCTGGTGAGCTTGAACTGCCAACCCTGTGGTTCAAACTGACATTGCAGTCCAGACCATTAACCCACAGCGTTTTAGACTCACATAGCCAAGTGCTCTGGAAACTACCAATTGGATGACTAATTAAAAAACAAACAGTGCTGTGGAATTGATTCCGACTCATGGTGACCCCTTGAGTATAACTGTATTTCACAGGGTCTCAATGACTGGTATTTTGGAATGAAACTGCCAGGCATTTATTTGAAAATCTCACAGGATATGCTGGAATCTCCAGCCTTACAGTTAGTAGCCAAGCACATTAACCATTTCTACTACTCAGGACTCTAGATACCTAATGTTGTTAAGTGCTATTGAGTCTGTTCTGAATCATAATGACTCTGATTGGGTTTCTAAGGAGAGCTGGTGGGTT